GTGCAGCTATCCGTGCAGCCCCCAGCGAGCTATCCATGCAGTGCTCCCCCAGTGAGCTATCCATGCAGCCCCCAGCCCCCCCCCAGTGAGCTATCCACACAGCCCCCAGTCCCTCCCAGCGAGCTATCCACACAGCCACAGCACAGTGCCCTGCCAGCTGGGACCCCCTGCACGGCACCAGGCCAGGCCAGTGCCCTGCCAGCCGGGACCCCCGCACGGCACCAGCCAGCCCAGCCCCCTGCTAGCTGGGACCCCCACACACACACTGCCCAGCACAGCACCCTGCTCACTGGGACCACCTGCATGGCACCAGCCCAGCCCAGCACCCTGCCAGCCAAACCTCCACCTGGCTCCAGCCCAGCCCAGTGCCCTGCTAGCCAAATCCCCACATGGCTCCAGCCCAGCCCAGCGCCCTGCTAGCTGGGATCCCCGCACAGCACCAGCCCTGCACCCCTCTAGCCTGGCATCCCCCCCCCCCGCCAGGGAGTTCATCAACGGAAGGTGCCTGAGCCCAGTGGGGAGCACCCCCAGGCTGACAAGGCTGCAGCACAGATACTCTAATGGGGAGAGCAGACCTTGCGCTTCCCCTGCCAACCTCCCCCGGGCCAGACACCAGCTGCAGGAGGGCGGGGAGCCGAGCCCTGACTTACTGTCCTTCTTCATGCCCACGGCCAGGCACTTCTGGAGGCGGCAGGCTTGGCACTGCCGGCGCTTGGCTTTGGTGATGGTGCAGTTGCGGGTGAAGGGGCAGGTGAAGCACACGCCCTTGCTGATCGACCGCCTGCAAAAGAGGGGCAGGGCTTGGGGAGCAGGAGACACTCCCCCTGCCTTGGGAAAGGGTCAGAGAGCCCCCCCCACCCACACACACACACAGTGAGAGCCCCAAGCGAGCAACCCGTTGGACCTGGCACCGCAAGGCTCAGAGCAACTCAGGCAGGCAGCCCTGGCTCTCCTCAGCGACCCGCCATCCCCTCCCAGCCTTCTGCCGGCTTCATCCCCAGCCTGCTCCATGCAGCACTGCATCCCTCCCAGGCACAGCCCAGCCCACTGCTCCTGCTCCCCTCCCATCCAGGAACGGGGACGCCCGACCCAATGCCCAGCACCCTTGCTAGGAGCAGGGGCTTCTGGGTCATTTCCAGCTGCAAGGCACTGCATTGTGGGATAGAGCTTGGGGAGCCGGTTCCTGGCTTCCTCTCCACCAAACCGTCCCAGCTACGCTTCCCCTGGCGCAGGGCCACCATGTCTGTGTGCCTGGGCGGGGGGTGCTGGCCCAGGCACTGAGCAACACAGACATGTAACATGCCAACACGTTGGGCTGTGCCAGCTCTCTGCCCCCCCGAGATCTGCCCCCTATGCAGATGGGTAGGCCCACACCTCCTATGCTTGCTATCACACACACAGATGGTTATTCCAGCATACACAAACAGACAGATGGCTATGCACACACACACACACAGTGGTAAATGGTGCTGCAAGAAGCCATGGTGAAGAGGCTTTGGGCCCTGCCCCCAGTAGTCATCTCAGGCATTGGTTGTCCCGGTCAGTTGCAATGCCCGGGACAAGCCCAACTGGCTGAACCAGGGTGTCTAGAACTGTTTCTTCCCTGCATGGAGGAGAAGCCACAAGCATTAAAGCTGCCCCAAAGCCCTGAAACCCCAACACCTTTCTCTGAGAATAAGCCTCACAATGAAACAGAGTCACTCTGGGGCAGGGGGATGGGAGACCCCAAAGGAACGTGCAGCATGCTGCAGGAAAAACAACAGGAGTACTTGTGGCACCTTAGAGACTAACAAATTTATTAGAGCATAAGCTTTCATGGGCTACATCCCACTTCTTTGGATGCATATAGAGTGGAATAAATATTGAGGAGATATATATACACACATACAGAGAGCATAAACAGGTGGGAGTTGTCTTACCAACTCTTGAGAGGCCAATTAAGTAAGAGAAAAAAAACTTTTG